TCATCTTCAGCTACACGCCGCTACGCCTCCGCCAGAGAATACGCGTCTTAACAAGATTTGTGTTTCTGTGGACAATGTTACGACAGCTTTAGTTGGCACGGGATCAAGTGTCTCCGTTATCAGCATGAATTTCAAAACCCAATTAGGTCATATGGTGATGTTCAAGGGGGATAATGCGAGCACATTTCGTGCCGTAAGTGGAGAATTGCTTCGACCTCTTGGAGTGCGTACCGCGAACGTATATTTCTCTGATTATGTCTATCAGGCTGAATTCGCAGTGCTTGCTGAATGAACGTATATTGTGTATCTGGGTCTAGATTTCCTGCAACAGTGCAGTGACACTCTTGACTCTGGTACCGGCTAGCTTTTTGTCATTCACTTTGTTGCCGACCAACCTGCTACTTGTTCGGACACCCTCGCCGTCTGTGAAGATTCCGTCGTAACGCCCCGTTCGCTATCCAGCGTTCACATTAGTGTTGCTAGTGCCGACAACGTTGTATTTGACGCTGTTGTTGAGCCCATGCCATCAATAGTCGCAAAAAAAGGGTGGGCTCGCCCCTCACTGTATTGTCTCTGTGACCTGTCGCACAAGTACATTGTGGGTGTCAAATTTGTCGAACCAGTCTGTTGTGCTTCCAAGCGGTATGCGACTTGCTTCGTTTGAAGCGGATACGAGCAATAATATCAACGCCTTAAGCAATCACGCATCGAACGAATTCCGGGGGCAGGAGACTAGCCCCAGTCCCCGAAGACGCTTCGCCGATGTCGAACATGATTAGCAAGGCACCACGCTCTAAGAAGCGTCAAGCCCTGGTCAGCGTCCTTTGCAGGCATGCTTCATTGTTTTATTTCACCCAGGACGCCACCAAAGTTCGTGTTTCTAATACGCGGGCTCGCCACAGTATCGACATGGGGTCCGCGCATCCCATAAGGCAGAAACCATACCGTGCGTCTGCATCGAGCGCAAGGTGATCGCCAAAAAGGTGGAAGACATGTTGGCTAAGGGCGTCATCTATGAGTCTTCTAGCCCCTGGGCTGCACAGGTCATCCTTATGAGGAAACAAAATGGGTCCTGGAGGTTTCGCGTCGACTACCGGCGACTACCGGTGACAAAAAAGGATGTGTATCCCCTTTCCCACATAGACGACATTATCTACTGTCTTCATTCGGCATCTTAAGTCTCATCTGTCGACATGCAATCGGGCTATTGGCAGGTACGTATGCATTCCGCCGACAAAAAGAAAACCACTTTTGCCACGCTAGATGACTTGCTTGAATTCAATATCATGTCGTTTGGTTTGTGCAACACCTCTGCGACATTTGAAAGGTTTATGAATTCGGTACTTTGTTGTCTCAAATGAGAGATTTGTTTATGTTACCTCAACGACATTGTCATTTTAGGACGCACTTTTGCTGAAGACAACCATCGACTTGACGTTTTTTAGCATGCTTTGAACAAGCTGCCCTTACCCTAAACTCGTAGAAACGTCACTTCAGTCAGCGAGAAGCATTTGTACTTGGTCATCTCGTAGACAAACATGGTGTGCGCCCAGACCCTCAGAAGGTTGCTGCAGTTACCTGTTTCAAACAACCGCAGTCACAACGTGAACTAAGAAGTTTTCTGGGTTTCTCTTCATAGTTCCGCCAATTTCTGCCCAAGTTCGCTGATACTGCCTAACCATTGACTGGTTTGCAAAGATAGGATTTCAACTGGACAGCGGAGTGTGATGCGTTATTTCGTGAACGTCAATTCATTTTCATGTCTTAACCCATACTCCACCATTTTGACCCGTCTGCCACGACATAAGTGCACACCAACGCGAGTGGCATCGGTCTCGGCGCCATGCTCATCCAGCACTTCGATGACGCCGAGCATGTCATCGCCTACACCACTCGTTTGTTGAGCAAGGCCGAGAATAATTGCACCATTACTGAACAAAAGTGCCTCGCTGTGGTTCTTGCAGTGCATAAGCTCCGCCCAAATCTCTACAGGCGGCACTTCACTATCGTGACTGACCACCATACACTATGTTGGTTGGTTGGTCTCCGTGACCCTTCTGTTCGCCTCGCGCGATGGGCGTTACGTTGGCTGGATGTGAACTTTACGATATGCTGCAAGAGTGGCCACCATCATTCGGACGCCGACTGTCTCTCGAGGCTTACCCTATGACCCACTCCATGTGATGCCGACAGTTTTGACGATTTTCTAGCTGCCATCGATGATACTGCTTTTCCTGACCTCGCTACCTTCCGGAAGACAGCGCAACAACCGCATCATGGATGGTCTTTTTGACTCAGCCGCTCTACCCATAGGTAGCCATGGTTTTATCGTCCGAGATGACTTGCTTTACAAAAAAATTACGCAGCTATATATATATATATATATATATATATATATATATATATATATATATATATATATATGACGCTATCATGAATGGGAGACGTGGCCTGGCTCATACGCCATGATTATTCTATTCTGACTTCTTCCTCGGCTTCTACCACAAGTCACTGCCTTCCTACGTATCAGGATTCCCTCTCCCACCAAAAGAATGCCTGAGCTACGAACTATGAAACATGAACAAGTGGTGTCTCATCATAGGAAAAAAATATCACAAAATGGAGTAGTTTTATGAAATACGGCGGTTCCATGCACTTGCAAAGAATATTCACAGGAAAGGCAGTCCAGTGACATCTAGGAGACCTCAGGGGGGCCGGTTGGCTGTTGCATTCTGGAGAGCATAACAATGCATTCAACGTTGGAAATGATGATGACACAGCCTGGATAGTACTGAAAAACGAACAAGATTGGCGTTGCTGTGGTTGCATCGGAACGTGCTGAGGTGGGAGCGCTTCTTGAACATCAGGCCTGTTTTCTTCACAAATTGATGTAGTGTCCATTTGGCAGCTGTTGCTACGCTTTTGAGGCAGTGAAGTTGGTAGGACAGATTTGCCTGGAGGAACATCAGAGGCGCCTTCGACAGCATTAATTTCGTAGGCTTCTGGCACCTGGCAACCTGTTAGAGTCGTTTGTGAGCCTCCTGTGCTGGGCTTTCAGATTGCTGAGCTCTCAATGGCGACGCCGCAACAGGCGTGGTTTAGTCAAATTCCAGTTGGGAATGGTTGCCTTTGTGTGCAACGAATGATGCGAGCTCTTCCGGGGGATGAAACTGAACTGTAGGTCCCCGGTATAACTGAGTACGCTGTGAGCTTTTCTGCTCTATTCTGACCTTAGTGAACGTGTGAGACATAAGGTGGGCGTTGTGAGCAACCGAAGATCCACGCGATGGAAAAGCAGGAGGTGGGTTCACGCGTGAAGACTGGTTTTGACTGTGACGACTGAGCGCGATTGTCTGTGGATGGTGGGTTATAAGCAAGTCTTCATAGTCATCATTGTAGTGTTTAAACCAAACGATCATTTCTTGTTTGATCTTTTCACATGACTCGTCGTTTTGAAATATGTGGGTGAGGTAGAATTTTAAGGCCTCACTGGAGACGTAGTCGGTAAAGTTGGCGACCATCTCCCGTTCCGACCATGATGCAGCGGCAGTGTGGAGCTCGAACAGGTAGAACCAGTCCTGCACGCGCCCATCGTCCGCTGCTCCGGTGTGCTTGGGGATGGGAGGGTCCGTCGATAGTTCCGTCATGATGGTTGCAATGGTGTCCAGTGGTGATGCACTTCTGTGGTCCGCGTTCGGTCACTGCGTCTCGCTGAGATCTTCGATGATGATGGCCGGTTGATGAAGTTGTTGCGACGTCTTGATCCTGTCAACTCGTGTGACACTATGGTGAATGGGAGACGTGGCCGGGCTCATTCGCCATGATTATTCTATTCTGACTTCTTCTTCTGCTTTTACTAGAAGTCACTGCCTTTCTACATCACACACACACACACACACACACACACACACATATATATATATATATATATATATATATATATATATATATATATAAGGGAAAGAAGTGTGTACCTAAGGGCTCATTTTCCTCTGTACATTCCTTGGCATTACTGTCTGTTAGATCTCAATATATATATATATATATATATATATATATATATATATATATATATATATATATATATATATATATATATATATATATAAATGTTGGTACATGACACTAATCTCATGATTTTCATGTTTGCATGAACACGTCAGCCATTCACGTCACGTAATACGAAATTCGGTGAATGTGGAGCTAGCGAAATGACCGGGAGTGCATCATGAGCGTGGCATGTAGCCATGTTCTTAGGTGACACACATATCTGTACGCCAAATTTTGTATATGTGAAACTAGCGAAACAGCCGCGAGATCCATGAGTATGACGAGTAGCCATGACTAATATGACATGCATGTCATGAATCTAATGGTAGGGCCTGTCACTTATGGTCGTCATGCACTCATGTCAAGCCATACCAGTTTTGCAATATGTCATAAGAACGAAAGCACTGCAGGTGCAGCAATATTGTAACATGTGTATCATGACATTCAATACATACACGTCATGTTTTGGATGTTATCACTAGTGGATTTCCTCGTCATAAGTCACGTTATGCTATATCATTTTGGTGTAGATCCGATTATCGGACCTGCCATGAGAGCTAAAAGTTGTGGGTTTCTAGATAGATAGATAGACAGACAGACAGATAGATAGATAGATAGATAGATAGATAGATAGATAGATAGATAGATAGATAGATAGATAGATAGATAGATAGATAGATAGATAGATAGATAGATAGATAGATAGATTAATTGATACGGTCATAGTCGCCGAAGTTTGTAAAGAAATACTTCGCACTTAATATGGCCGTTGTTTTAATAGCTATGTGTCTCGTAAGGGTTATCGACAAAAATGTGCGAAATTGAACAGAAAATTGGGCAAAAAGTGGCCATTTTTAAGCTCCAGGGAACTTATGTTGATAACAGTTCCCTGTAGGAAAGTGATGCAGCAATTATAGGATCTATTTTTGAAGATCGGCGTGAACGCTCACCATCGGCGTAGCTTGGTGGCAGGAACCTCTCATAAGCCGTGAGCGACTTCCCCCACTCTCTGTTCTCAAGGTTGTTGCATAGGCCATCGATGGATCGGAATTTTGTTGAAGGGCAGCGCGGAATTTTGGGACAAGTATCCGCGATGACAGTGTTCTGAATGTTGAAGCGCTGAAGACCATCCCTTCCTTGTAACGAATCCAGGTTGAACCTGTGAAAGCAAATGATTAGGTGATGTTTTAAAAAATTGCCGAAGTGATAAATAAAGATGTGCATGATTATGCCAAATACATTATATTTGTGTAGCTGACACCCTAAAGTTGGGTAAAACCTTTACAATATGTCTATTACGATTGTTTCGCTGACCGCACGCATACGCACGCACGAAATATAAAATAAGACTATGAAGACGCCCAGACGTTGGGCATCTCTGCTTCGAGGACTACATGTGAATTCCCTGAAGGCTACCTCGATCATCTTTAGTGCTTTTTCGAAGTGTTTCTCTCTTCAGGCATGATACCACAGAACTCACTAAAAAAATAAAACACGCCACATTCACAAAGACAGAACTCTCGCTTGGCGTTCTTCCTCTGTTGTGTGTCCAGCATAGTTTGTTCCACTCGTAATCATGTAACAAAGAGCCCAGTTAGGCAGTTTCCTGCACTAAATTCTAGTCGCAAATGGAAACCTATTAAGAAGAGCACTCCACGACAGGACACAAAGCCCAACACTTGGCATGTGTATTATGAATCTCATTAAAGACTATTGATTTATGTCGTTCAATGCTGTTCATAAAGTTTCAATTCTGCACTCTCAGTCAGCAACCGGATAACGAATCACATAGAAGCGACGCTTTCTACCTACTACATCCTTCGTGTAGGGAGCCAGGCGAAAAATATAGCCATGACACACACGCGGTGCACAATTACTGCCCATATTCGTGTAAAATCGGGTGCAAGCGTGGAGGAAGGAAAAACCGCCACTGTCTCGTGAGCTCGGCGCCCGGAGTCAGCATCAGCTTCACACAAGCGTTGAGTGGCGGGCGGAAGCACGGAGGGAAAAAAAATGCCCCCACATACCCGAAGGGTCTCGTGAGTAAATGCGCATGCATTTCTTGCGCAGAGAGAAGGCACCGTTGCCACAGGCATTCGCCTTCACCGACTTCCGTCATCGCCTTGAGAGGGACTCAGCCAGTGAACGGTCGAGAATGAGGAACGAGCGGATGGGAGACTGGGTCGCCAGCGTTCTTGGCTCGGGGTTTGCATTTCACAGCGGCGTCTCAAGCACACATTTCTGAATGTTTTTTAGAGGCGCCCAGCCAGTGAACGGTGGAGTGGGGCGAAAGGATTGATTTGATTTATATGTGGGGTTTAACGTCCCAAAATTTCCATACGATTATGAGAGACGCTGTAGTGGAGGGCTCCGGAAATTTTGACCACCTGGTGTTTTTTAACGTGCGCTCAAATCTCAACACACAGGCCTACAACATTTCCGCCTCCATCGGAAATGCAGCCACCGCAGCCGGGATTTGATCCCGCGACCTTCACGTCAGCAGCCAAGTATTTTAGCCACTGGACCACCGCGGCAGGGTGGGCGAATGGAGGAGATAGCGAATGGCGAAAGAAGGAGCGGCGAAGCACTTCACCGACCCTCTCCTACAACTTTTTGCACCACATGCTCAGGTTGCTAGGAGCGAGGATAAGCTGTTGCAATGGGAGAGGGAGTGAGACAGCAGAAATAACACCTGTGGGCACGCGGCCGCTGCCACGGACGCCACCTGATGCCTGACATAGCCCCCTATAAATTGCATTCTCATTTGTCAGAGTTAAGAGCATTTCCACAAAGTGAAAGATAATGAGTGGGGCGAAGCATCCGCCAGCCCGTCCGCGCTTCCGTCCATCAGTTCGTTCTTTTCTCCGTCCGTCCTTGCGTCCATTCATGCGTCTATCCGTCCGTCTGTGCATTCATCCATCCGTCCATGCGTACGGTTCTGCGCTCATCCGTGCATCCGGCTGTGCGTCTGTCTATCCATTCGCGCGTCCGTCCATCCATTCGTCTGCTTGTCTATCTGTTCATCTGTGTGTACATCCATTCGTCCGTCCATCCGTCAACCTAATGAACGCTCTATAACCGACATCTTGCATCTTTTCATCGCGATCGTCTCTCCTTCCCCTGTGGCACATACCCGTCTATCCCCTGTGGCACATAACCGCCCTATCAGTTATGCGCCACCTAACGTTAGGCACAACAACGGGGGACGCACAAGCCATGCCATAAGGAGCATCGCTCCTAATGACCAAACCACAGTACGGCAGCACGTCCGGTTCCGCTCCGTTTTTTTTTTCTGTGCGGGCCCGGTTTTCGACCGGTCCAGATTCGGTGACAGCTTCTCGGCTTCGGCCGGAAGGGATGAACCCGCAAGCTTTCCAGGCTGCTGATTGGTTTAAAAAAACGGTGGCCCACGACGTCATCACGCAAGCCGGTCGTGCAACGTGGCGCTCGCCTGAAGCGACGAAGTGAGTGGCAAGGCCTAGTCGGCAGCTGCTTAAAAGACGGCTTATTTCGACGTCATTGCAATTACCACTAGAGGTAACCAGCAGCCGCAAGTATTTTCATCGAAAGGCAGCCCGCCGGTGCAGCCTTCCTGCTCTCGTCACTGGCTGCGATTGCCGATGGAACCCGACGGAGAGTTAAGTTTGAGCGAGGTTGGAGACCGACGATTTCGTGTGTTTCTTGCCATCGTTCACTTCGACTTGCAAACCGGAACGTCAATCTGCAGGTATCCTCTTCGGATGACACATACTTGTCGCCAAAAGTGTTCGATTGCTGCAAGCAGTGTTTGTGATTTGTATGTGCGCCATGTTCGTGGTTCATTCGTGAGGAGTACTGGGTGATGCCACAATCTGTGGTATCACCGTCATTCGTCATGTTTTGCGGCATGTGCGCTGCTTTGCCGCTGGCAATATGCTGTGGTGACTACGTCGTGTCCGAAGTGCTCGATCGTGTCCGCAGTTGACTAAGTTTGCTCACGAGATACCGGTACGGGTGTGAGCCTGCGATGTTCTGCAGCGGTGCTAGACGCAAAAGTTATTTGCCGCGTGTGTGTGCTCTGAAATGTGCCGTGAATGGGTGCTGTCAGTTGAGCTTTATTGTGTATCTGGCACCTCAATACAGGAATTCCGTCAAACTTGAATTTACTGTCTAGCTCGCGTATGGTGTGTTTCAAGTTCTTTTTTCACTTGCCCGCTTTGCTTTTATACAACGCTGTATTATATACGTGCAAGAATGTTGGAGTCATAAATGACAACTTGAGGTACCGTTCATGTCTAACGTGGGAAAATAATACACACAGAAAATTTAACAAAAGGGAAGTCGTGATGCGTAAGTCTTTTTGATGTTCCCCAAAGACAGAGAAAGCTTATCGATTGTCAAGTGAAAAAAAATGCTGCGGTTTCCTACAAATTTTCATATTATAATCGAAGGTGATATACATATAGGGGAAAATACAGCATAACTAACAAAAATTCCGTGTTCAATATAAAATCTCTTAACGTACAACTGTCACAACAATTGGTGTCAATTTTTTATAGCAGTTATGATGATAGTTACAAAAGCTGACCGAGTTGCCGAAATCGTAGCTTTCCAGTACTCGCAGATTGTCTTTTGCTCGTTCTTTTGTGATTGACATATCTTTTCGCCATAAACTTTTTATTTAATGCAAACAAAATTGATCCGTATTAACCGAACAGTTTTCTTGGAGGCTCCTTTCAGTACGTTTTGATTACCAATTTTGTTTGCACCTGGTGCTAGATACCGTGTGCTGAAACTACTCATGCCAGTAAAATATTCCTATGAGCTATTTTGCGCTGTCGCTGTTAGGCTGAGAAAAGTGCACTGATAATAGACGTCTTCAGGTGTGTTCGACTCGAAACATGACGCACACATATTGATTGATATGTGGGGTTTAACGTCCCAAAACCACTTCATGATTATGAGAGACGCCGTAGTGGAGGGCTCCGGAAATTTCGATCACCTGGGGTTTTTTACCGTGCACCCAAATCTGAGCACACGGGCCTACAACATTTCCGCTTCCATCGGAAATGCAGCCGCCGCAGCCGGGATTCGAACCCGCGCCATGCGGGTCAGCAGCCGAGTACCTTAGCCACTAGACCACCGCGGTGGGGCACATGACGCACATATAAAGTGAATGAGCATATGCTGAGGCCTAATCGCCATCTGCACAAAAGAAGCTAATATGAATGAAACTGTGATTTTAGTACGAGAGTTAATCAGCATTTGTGGAATTATTGATTGAAACACAGCAAAGAAGTGCTAGGTTTCGGATGTATTCCTGCCTGTGGGTATTCCTGCCTGTGGTGTCTTCGGAGGTATTCCGAAGACACCACAGGCAGGCACCACAGGCTGTGGTGGTTTCGGAGGTATTCCTGCCTGTGGTGTCTACGGCGGCCAGCGCATCGACTACGCAGACGAAGATAAATGCCATCACGCTCCCGTATCAGCAGCTTACCCATGACCAAGAACCGCACGTGCTGAATCTTTCTACACCGCATGATGGCGCCTCGACTGCATCGACTATGGCTATAAAAGGACGGCTGCAGCAACACCCGCGCAGTGGGCACGTCGGCTGGCATCGGAACGGCGTCATGTCAAACCCATTCCTGTTCTTTGTACAGGTATTCCTGCCTGTGGTGTCTACGGCGGCCAGCGCATCGACTACGCAGACGAAGATAAATGCCATCACGCTCCCGTATCAGCAGCTTACCCATGACCAAGAACCGCACGTGCTGAATCTTTCTACACCGCATGATGGCGCCTCGACTGCATCGACTATGGCTATAAAAGGACGGCTGCAGCAACACCCGCGCAGTGGGCACGTCGGCTGGCATCGGAACGGCGTCATGTCAAACCCATTCCTGTTCTTTGTACAGGTTGGTGTCGATTACTCCTCAGTTAAAACAAGCAATCGTTGTTTTATACAGCTGACGTGCCCAAGCTGTCTACATGCTTTTTTTGTGAATACATGGGATCTTGTACGGTCTTTGCTAATGTTGTGCGGAGACGTAGAGCTCAATCCCGGACCTAGTACCGCGGAACTTCTCAAACAATTACTTGATGGTCAGAAACTTATACAAGAAAGGCTAAACGCCATTGAATCCAAGCTGCAAAAAGTTGACAAAATCGAAAAAACTG